ATTCAGTAAGGTCACTAGGAGAAACTTTACCCAATATAACTGACTGAGCTAAAGACCGTAAGCGGTTAGCAGACAAGTGCCTTAATCTAGAATGCCACAAGTAGAAATGGCTGAACAGAGAATCTAACTGAAAAGAGGAAAAAACTGTTTAAGATGTTGTCATAGGCAGATGCAAGCTCTCTCCCACATAGAGGTCTCCAACTCTATGGCCAGTCTCAATCTGTTGTTTGGACATCTGATCCTGCACAGAACAAAAAAGAGAAAAAAAGATAACATCAAAACCAGAGGCATCAAGCTGATTGATAAATAATAAACTAACAGATAACTGAGGAACATAAAAGACAAATGGAATGGGGACATCAGACATAACAGTTGGTAAGACAGATTTAACAGATATAATAGACATACCAGATCCATTAGCAGCATTAACAGTAATAGAAAATGGAGGGGGAATACAATTTTGAAGGAATAAGAAATGATGAGTCATATGATGAGAGACATTAGAGTAAAAAATCCAGATAGATGAAGATATACCTGAAGGAGACCCAAGCAAACCTAAATGAAGAGAGGAAACAACTAAGGTAGACGGAGAAGGTTCGAAGGTAGACAATATATGCTGAAGTTGAGCAATTAGAGCACTCAAGGAAGCTAAATTAGGATCAGAAACAGAAGCAAATGCAGTTTAAGTGGCTGGAGTCTGAAAAGTACTCTGAAAATGAGCATGGAACTGAGTCTAAAACTACTGAAAAGATGAGGCAAACAGACGTCCCTTCTTGGGACAATGATACTTCCAATGGCCTCGCTGATGGCAAAAAGCACACTCATCTAATGTCAGTAGCCCCGTTTTGGGCTTTGTAGGAGACTCAAGTTGATAGATATTCGACATCATAATGAACCAAAAATGGAGAACCAATTAGGTGAAGTATAATAAATAGAAAACTGATGAGTCAAAATGTAATAACCCAAAACTAGCACTATATGGATCAAAATGTAATAACAAAGATCTATCGCCAATCACAAGCAAAGAAAGAGAAGACCTGAACCCACACACTCATCTGATGCTAGTAGTCCCGTCTTGGGCTTTGTAGGAGACTGAAGCTGATAGGTATCCAACATCATAATGAACCAAAAATAGAGAACCAATTGGGTAAACTATAATAAATAGAAAACTGATGAGTCAACCTGTAATAACCCAAAACTACCACTATATGGAATTGGCTTCCGCCAGGCCCTGTACTCTGTTTTACTGTATTACTGTATCTGCAGGCCTTCGGTAATCTCGGATTACTGGCCGGTTACGGTGCTAAACCCATAGGGCCGGGTTTGGGTCGTGACAACAAGCAAAGAAATAGAAGACCTAAACCCACTTCAAAGCAACCAACAACGAACCACAAAGAGAGACGAATTAACCCAGAATCAGATGAGAACTAGGGAACTGTCATTCGTAAGGAGAGAGAACAGACTAGACCTTCATGTGAAGCGCGAGAGAGGTAGAGATAGACAACCAGAGTCCTCTTTGACTTAGATGGGTTGCGATGATGGGTTTCGACCTGAACCCAAACGAGTCGCCATAAACAGATGAGGGGAGCAAGGGTAACACTGACAAACAGACAAATCACGATAGATAGATTGATCGAATCTTGACGAACCAGAGATAGATTACGGGATAGGTCAACTCCGACGATCTAGAGAACAACCTCAATTGAACCACCAAACACCTAGATTGTAATTCAGAACTAGAGGATGTGGTGATTGCTGTTTTAGGGTTTCAAAGACGGCTTTGATACCATGTAAGATTTTTGTCTATTCAATTGTAATCGTAATACAAGAACACATTGGTTTATATAACAATCTAACTCTAGAACAAAAAAGGAAATACGACTTATTTCAATATACAAAATATATATTACCATATATATATATAATCCCTAATATATTCTCACACACATTACAACAAATTACACTTTTGGTGGCTAAATTTTTAGTCGCCAAAAGTTAGATTTTAGTTGCCAAAACATTTTCTCGACTAAACTTTTTGGTCGCCGGATTTGTCGCAGGATGATTGTCGGGGAAGGTATTAGCGACTAAAAAATATCAAAAGTCCTAAATTGGCGACTATTCTTTTAGTCGCCAAAAGGAAAGGTATTGACGACAACAAAATCTTTAGTCACTGAAAGGCTAAATTGGCGACTAATTTTTTAGTCGCCAAAAGCTTACAGTTAAATTTAACATCACATTTTTAACTACTAAAATTTTTGTTGCCAAAACATTTTTTTTTTTTTTTGGCTACTAAATCATTAGTCGCCTAAAGTCTTTTTTTTTTTTTTAAATGGCTACTAAATATTTAGTTGCTAAAAGGTTTGTTTCTATTTAATTCTTTTTTTAGCTACTAACTATTTAGTCGCTAAAAATATTTAACTTTATTTTTGGCTATCAATTGTTTGGTCGCCAAAAATATCATTATATATATATATTTTTTATTTTAATTAATTTGTCCACAACCTGTATGTATCCCACGTAGCCTGTAACAGGTATACAAATCCCACAACACGTATTTCACTTACAACCATCCAAAAAAGAGAATAACTTTTAATGTCAAATTTCATAGAAATCAAGTATATTCCAACTGAAAATAATAATTTCATACAGAATAAAAAGTAGTACAAAAACCATGCCCTCCGTAGACAAAAAAGGAATATCTACCATTCCACGCCAAAAAGCATCTGTAAGAAAAAAAATTTAATCATTAGTATTGATCGAATAGCATTGGCATTTTTGAAATTATAAAAAAAAATTATATAATGCAAAATCTTTGCATTACCCTTATGGGTCTTCACAAGCAAATAGCACCCAAAAGATAGAGATAATTCTATAATGCAAAGAACCCAACACATAATGGGCGAGATACACTACAACAAAATGCACATTCGGCGACTAAAATTGGTGATTAAAAAAAATTTAGTCGCCAAAAGTAAAATATTTAGCTACTAATTTTTTTTAGTCGGGGTATATTGATTTTTGGCGACCAAAAAAAAATTTTAGTCGCTGTATATTGAGTTTTTGCTACTAAAATCATTTTGTCGCTGAATGGAAAATAACAAATTATTTTTTTACTTTTCGCAACCAAAATTTTGGTCTCTAAAAGTTTATTTTCAATGACAAAAAAGAATTTTAGTCACCGTATATTGAATTTTGGCAACTAAATCATTTAGCCGCCAAATGAAAAATAAAAAATTATAATTTTTACATTTGGCGACCAAAATTTTGGTCGCCAAAAGTTTATTTTTAGCAGGAAAAAAGAATTTTAGTCACCAAAGAACTAAAATTTTTGGAGAGAGACATTTCAAATATTTTGTAGGGATTTATAAAATACTTTCAACGACTACAAATATATTAGTCGCTATTATTCAATCTTTGGCTGCAAAATATTTAGTCGTTATTTATTGTTATTTGGCGACAAAAAATTGCTTTAGTCGCTAAAGGTTGTAGTATTTGTTTTAGAGGGAAATAAATTATTTTTGGCGCCCGATATATTTAGGCTCCGTTTGGTAAGGCTTTCTAACTATGATTTGAGAATATGAGTTATATTTTGAGTTTGTGTGTTTTGAAATTATGATTTGAGTGTAGAAAATTTGTTTGGTTATGATTTTTGAATAGAGTGTGGAATTGAGTTTTGAAAGTTTGATTTGACATGTGAAGTAAGAAAATTTGTTTGGTTATGAGTTTTGGAAAGAGTTTTCAAAACTTAATTCAAATTGTTATAACTCATAACAGAACACACTACTTTCACACTATTAAAAATTCTGATCAACACTCATAGCCAAACTCTTTTTAAAATTCAATTAAAAAAAATTATTATTAACAGAAAATAACATTAATCAATTTTTTAATTGAAAATACTACAAAGGAAATATTTTTTTTTCAAAATAAATATTCAAAAAATATAAATCATAAATATTTAAAATTTAAATAATCTAAAAAATTAATAAATAAAAATTTAAAATAAATATTCAAAAAATTTAAATTGTTAAAAATTAAAATTCAAAAAATTTAAATAATTTTAAATTTTAATATTTAAATTTAAAACAACTCTACACTCAAATCGTAACCAAACATATAAAAAAAAACTCAATTAAGAAATTATTTTTAAAACTCATAACCAAATACATAACTTGAAACTCCATACTATTTTCAAAACTTTACACTCGAATCATAACTAAATACATAACAAAAAAATTAAAATATTTAAAAATATTTTTATAAAATAGAGTTTGAATTTATTTTTTTAAAATATTTTAAAATTTTAAAAATTAAAATAGTAATATTTTAAAATTAAAATATTTAAAAAATTAAAAAAAAATCGTAACATATTTAAATATTAAATATTTAAAATCTTAACAAAATTTAAATATTTTTAAAATATTTAAATATTTAAAAAATTAAAACACTAATTTAAATTGAGTTTTAACATGAGTTTTGAATTATATGTTTAATTATGAGTTTTGAAAAATAATGATTATATTTTAGATTGAATTTTAAAAAATAAATGTAAAATTATGATTTAAGATCATATTTGATTAGGTGGATTAAAGCATGGGATTGAGATTATTAATCTATGGGTCCAATTATCCAATGCTTGTTTTAACACTTTGGTTTAGGATTATTAATCCAATGAATAATTAATCCAACAAATTTATAAAATTATTAATAATAGAGTAAGGATAAAATTATTAATCCAATAAATATTAATCTAATTAAATAATAAATACCGCACTAATTTAATAAAATTATTAATACTTCACTGTTATGAATCAAATATGACTATTAATACTTCACTAAATATGATGTAAAAGCATAAAACTAACCCTACACTCGAATCAACCGGGAAAACTACAATTTGAGAGGGAGCCTTACACTCTGTTCTGCCTCTCTCTCACACACACACACACACACACACACACGATATACACTTTTGTCTCAAACACCACCAAACCTCACCCCCACTCACCACCGGCGCTTGCCAGCCACCGCCACCGCCACCGCCACCTGCAAATCACCGCCACCACATAATCACAGGTATTTTTCTCTCTCTGTCGCTCTCGGGCTCTCTTCCCCTCTGTCGCTCTCAGTCTCTCTCTCTCTTTGTCGATCTCGCTCTCTCTCCCTCTCTGTACATCTCGGCCTCTCTCTTTCTCTCTCTATCTCTCTCTTCCTTCCTATATTTCCCCATTTCTCACAATTGCTCTAGAGTTTTATTTGATTTTTTTTTTTGTTTAATTGTGTGTTGATTTGTTAACTCAAAATCCCAAATTTTGCGTTGATTTCTCACACTTGCTCTACTGTTTGATTTCTAGACATAAATCCCAAATTCAAGCTGATGAGCTTGACTTTGGGACATGACTGGGGGTATTCTAATACCAAACTATGTACTAAAAGAAATTAACTTGTACAAAATGTATTGTCCACTTTTAGTCAAGATCATGAGAAAACTGAAGCAAATGTGGGAAACCCAGATGGATTACGAACACGGATTTATTCCTAACTTTTCTTGACCTTTAATTTCAATTTATCCTTTTATGTGCAATAGGTTGTGCCCTCAGGAAGATTTCCAAATTTAACTTTTCATGTTCATTTTTCAAGCCCTTCTAGCTTTTGTTTTAGCTTTTCTTGTGGTTCATATCTGATTTCACCATGTTAATTACCTAGTTGGGGGAAATGGTGGGGGTATTCGTGTTGATTTGTCACATGGTGTTTTATTAGAAATATGTTTCTTTTAGGTCTATACTCTAGTAATTTGTTGCTAAACAAGTTTGTTGTTTTCTTTTTAGGTCTCATTTGAGGAGAGAAATGAAGAACTGTTTGCGATGAAATGGATTGCTAACTCACACTGCATTATATCTTAGCCAAGAATCTGGTGGATTTTGCTTTTGACTGACTTCAATTCTTCAGGTAAACATTCCTGTATGGTTCGCTGTGGATACGAGACTTGGAAGCTTGTTTATCCATTTGGATACACCACAATTGTTTTCTGCAGAAATGTATTCGGCGGACCTTAACATCATTGGGAAACCTGAGGATGACAAGGTACACATCTGTTTTTTTTGTTTGTTTGTTTGTTGCCTTAACCCCATACCAGATGCTATTCTCTGCTGTTACCACTCTCTAAGACTCATTTTTCATATCAAAAAACTTAATTTTGAGATGTATGGCACCTCTGAAAAGGTGTCTTGACGAGGTGATTCTTCAATGAGGCAAGGTTTAAGCTTCAAAGATGTTAGAATTTTATAAATTATAGAGCTTATATAAACTAAATGCGCAAATTTAAGATGCAAAAGTTAATACAACAGATGTTTGAAGACCTTAATAGGTAGACAAAGTTCAATATTCTTTCTGTTCTCCCTTTTGTGTTTATTTTTGTGCTTTCTTGTTAAAAATAAATAAATGCAAGGAACCTTGACTTTCAATAGCATAAATGGTGTGTATGCAAAATCTTGACTTTTTATAGGTAAATTAGTATTAGACTTTTTTATTGGATTGACCTTATGTAATTTTGCAGATTAATTTGGCTCATGAAACTCTTAAAGGGCTGTTGGCTCATTGTTTAACCAAAAGAAGGCAGAGATTTGGATATCAAGCTTCAGCGATTGGAGAAAAATTGTTCCACATGAACCTAAATTTTTTTAATTTTTTTTTTTATTTCTGTTCTTATGATTGCCTTCCATTACTTTGTTTTCCCCTCCCTCTCTTTGGTCTTGTACTGTTGTTTGCATGGTTCAGTGGGCAAAATTAGTTTTCCTTAAGTACAAAGAGGTAAAATTCAGCATACTGTTAAAACCATTTAGTTACTACCTACTTTTTGAACTGACCAATTTTAAGATGATCTTCGTCTGAATTTATTCTAATTTCTACAGATGTAGCTTTTATTTACATCCATGTGAGGGCTCAGCTGTCCAGATTTTTACGCAAGGGAAACTGAGTGCACCTCGTATATTGAGAATGCATAAAGTATGATTTTATTTGGTTTTGTTAGTAGTTTCATTATTGTGAGTTTGATCTCTATTTAGGCCTAATTTTGAAGTCCAGCTCTGTGCTGGTGTTGCGTTTCAGTTTGTTGTGTAACTTTTAAGCTTTAATTTTTATTTTCTCTTGTTAATAAGAAAGATGCAGAGCAAACAATTTGTCTAAACAAGTTCTTATTTATTTAATTTTTTTTTGTAGGTTATTAACTATGTTGTAGAAAATATGGTTCTTGACAAACCATTAGATAACATGGACATTGATGGAACTTTTGCTCCTGGATTGCCAATAGGGTAGTTACAACATCCAGCTGTTGGAGGAGATGGTTCATTTCAGTTGAAACCTTGGCAAAAGCTTAAGCTTTCTATAGAGATCTTCTGTAACAATCAAGTAAGTCAATATATTATACTGGATGTGAAAATATGAATGATGGCCTTTTGCTAACTGTAAAGTTTAGGAGGTAGTGACATTATGTGGAAATTAGATCCAATACGGAGAAGTATTGGTTGCTAAGATTCTAAGATTGTTCTTAAACAGAAAGTTGCATCATCTTACACTAGTGTATTTCACCTATTCTGTCCCTCACCCTCCTTGCTGGATACCTATTTTGTCACTTGCGATCTCACTTAATTGGTATTGCTTTCATGAAACATTATTGGCCTTGTTTTTCTCTAAGTTCTATGGTATCATTTGACCTTTATTTTTTCACTTGAGTTTTTGACAAATCTTTGTTTTGTCATAGGGTTTGTTAAATGATGGTGGCACAATATTGCTAGACAAGCTGGCGGGGTATTTCTGTATCAGTAAAATCTTAATTTTGTTTATCTATGATTTTGTTGAACCTCAATTCGTATTTAGCTAACTACTTGCTCTCTTCTCCTTCTTATCCCTGTGATTTGGTAACTCAGAATACTGTTATTATATCAACTGGATCCTTCTCTAGATGCAAAATTTGCTGGATGAATTACAATTTCAGTTAGTTTATTTTTTAATATAATTTTTTTTTATTATGTAAAAAGTGAAAATGTCTGTCTGGAGCATGGTAAAACAGTTTCACCCCAACCCCCCCTCACCCTTTGAACTATTTCTTATGTATTTTGGCTTCAAGTAGATGAAAGTAATCTTGATAGAAAAGGCATATACTTAACGAGGATAATAGCAATTGCTTATACAACATCAATGTTTTCCTTTTGTCTTTTTAGACCTAAATATTTGTAAAGTTTATATGGTCTTTCTTTTACCTCATTATTTTTCAGAACAATAAATAAATAAATAAAATAAAAATCTATGCTTGTGCTCAAGTTCCTCATGTTTCTCTCATTATTTCGAAAGTAATTTTAACATTTTATAGGCAAGCTGATATGTATTTCATAAACTTGATATGTGATTAACATGTATACAAACCACTTTCATTTATTGTAAGGCAAATATGATGACACATTAACCATGCCCTGTTGCTTCTGGGATTTTTTCCTTTCAAGTGCGTTTAACAAATATATCTATTGCATGTTATTCACATTACATACATGTCCTCATAACCAGAGGTGGCCCAACTTTTGACGAGGCCTGTGGTGTTTATGCTTACTACTGTCAATGGTTGCTATTGAGGTGTTGTTGGGAAAGCACTGGTCAACTAGGTGCTATTTGGAGAATAATTGTTGTCAATATTACCGCCATTCAGGTATCACTACAAGAAATCACACTTTTACCGACTAAAAACTTGGTCGGCAAAAGTTCATTTTTAGTCAGCAAAAATTATACGTGGCCAATTTTTTTGGTCGCCACTTTGGTTGCCAATTGAGAATCGGCAAAAGTAATTAGCGATCAAAGCTTTTGTTAGACAGGAAAAAATTAGATTTGCTCACTAAATTTTTACTCGCTAAACATATCATTACTGCGACTAATTCATTTAGTTGCTAAAACACTTTAGTCACGAAAAGTGACATATTCCAGACCAAACATGTTAGTCGCCAATTGTCTTATTCCACGACCAAACATGTTAGTCACCAATTGTCACATTCCACGATCAAACATGTTAATTGCCAAAAGTCACAATCCACAACCAATAGATTAGTCGCCAAAAGTCACATTCCACGACCAAACATGTTAATCGTCAAAAGTAATAATTGCGTGACTAAAAGTTTAATCAACAATAGACTATTTGCGACCAAACTCTTAGGTTGCCAAAATTAATAATTTTACTGACTAATTATTTAGTCACCAAATGTACCCTTTTGCCTACCAACAATTTGGTCGGCAAAATCACAATTTGATCGCCAACATCCAACAAAATAAACCTGTATTTGAAGACAAATATTCCATCAAATCCATTCAATATAATTTGTAATTAAAAAGAATCATTCATACCAACAAGGTATCTGAATCATGAACATTCAACGAAATACATAAATTATCCAATTCTGAATCCGTTTAATAAAAATCAGCAACTATTATAAGTTTACATCCACAAGTAATTCTAAAGTACATATTCCTCCAATTAAAATTCTGATTCACATCTTGACTAGCATAAAAATTTAAAACATAACAAGTATTGGTTATTATGTTTTAAATTTTTATCCATGCGCATCTATCAAAAAATATAACTAGTAGTTTACCCAAATTTTTTTCATATACACCCATCCAAAAATATAACTACTAGTCTATTCAAAAATATAACTACTAGTCTCTCAAAATATTTTCCATACACATCTATCTAAAAATATATAATCCTTCCAAAAATGCTTATAGTGCCAATTAGTCCTGTACAATTTAACTTCGTGCACGAGTTCATCCATCTGCACCAAAGAAAAAGAATATTAAGAATTGAGCAATCATTAAACTTTGTTTGTCTAAAATGTGGTAAAACACTTAAAATTTTACTTTCAAACTGGAGGGATGAAGCTCCTCCCCAAAAGACTACATAGATGGGATTTGAGAATTAGTCACTACAAAAATAAATCTTTGTTTAGATGCTTCTAGTAGATTGTCCAATATTGTATATGATTATTCAGAACATGCAAACATGTTCCCTGCCATACCACACTATTACTTGACATCAAACAAACTATCATGTTTACATTGTGTAAGAATCTCAAAAACATCAGATGCAACTATTTTTGCTAGAAGAAAATTCTATCATTACTAAATACAAAAAAGGCATTCCCCAGCCATTTCATGCAAATTAATTTTGTGATAAAGAAAACAAACATCTTAGAATGAGACCTCTAAATTCTCGAGAAGTCTACCCACCACTACTAAGGCCATAAATCTTTCAGTTACACCATACGCATCACATTTACTAAAAATATGTTCATAACTAATTGTGACATATTGCAGTAAGAGGGCAATATCAAATACCCACCATATATAGCACAATCTCAGCTAATCCTAACCAGGTCTCCTAGGTTACTAATCACAAACTAGGTAACAATTGATAGGCTCACGTATGATACATTCATATTCAGCACAGTTGCAGAACTACTCACTTGTGAGGAGGTAACGAATGTGATGCCCATGTCATTTGCAAGCTTATAAAGATGTTCTTCAACATCAATACTTATGGCACTATCAATAAAAAATTATTACATAAAAATTAGTATGAAATGTGAAATTATGGGTAAGCTTATCTGTGTGAGTGATTTTCCGATCACACTGCCAACTTAGTTATTCAACTGGAGAACACTGGCAGAATAGAAGACACCTGGCTGACCTACAACAGAAAGAGAAGATTCTGACGGTGGTTTGTTCACCCGGGGCACTCCGACGCTCAAGTCAGTATATCTCTCAAAGATAATCAATTGTGCTAAACTTACTGTTCAGAATATAAATTGCGAACCTTAGACCCATCGGGGGTGCCTCTCTTTTATAGTTAACTCAATCCTTGTCCCACTAGAAACCTAGCTTTAATGGACTCTTGCTAAGTGCTTATCCTGGACTCTCTAAGAGATAAAGATAAACTCCCTAAGAGTGTTATTTTTATCCATACTAAAGTCTTTCATCATTCTAGGACTCTTGTCCCTTATCCGCTTATCTCGGATTCCGATATCTTCGAAGATAACCTCGGCCTAGCCGAGATTACCTCGGCGTCATGACCAGGACACGTGGCACCTCGGCTGACACGTCGGCGTCACCTTGGCCACGTGTTGGGACTCAGAAAACATATCCCCACAACTGCCTCATAGGTTCTATTACCTCGATATTCTGAGGTGATGGAACCTATATTGGTACTTCATGCCAGTACATCGACTTAAGCCGAGCTCATCACTATTGGCCAACATGTCTTCTTAAAGATTAAGATTTCCAAGAACTTCACGCGCATAAGCTGTCATGCATTACAACTCAACCGTTTTTAGCCACGTGTCTTTTTCTTACTGGATCGTACTTGATACGCGTCTGTAAATCGAATCATTCTCACGTGCGCCATCTAACGCATACGTTCTTCTAGGCATATTAATAACTTCTTTGCCGCCGTTTCCGTGTTTAACAAAAATCACTTCCCCCTCTTCCATCTTTTCACTTTTTCCTATCGTTTCTGAGGCTTTCTCTCTCTCTAGCTCTTTCAAACCTTCCATTGTTTCAAGCTTTCAAGCTCTGCCATCGCTGTTGTTCACCTCTTCTGGCGTGGTTTTCATCGATTTTCCACCTTCGCAACTATCGTCAGACTTCGACAATCCCCATTCCGGCTTCCCTTATTCTGGTAAGCCACTATTTCGCCTGGTTTCAATTTCTTGTTACCTTACTGAACTTTACCGTTTTACTTTCTGTCTTTGCAATCTTGTTCATACTTCTGGTATTTCATCTTGCATTTTGTATTCCACCATATATTTGAACTTGTTTGCTTCGTGATTCTGTTTTTACCCAAATCATCTTCTTGAATATACACTGTTTACACACCAGTTGATTTCTGCCACTGTTCTTGGCCTGATACCCTTTGTTCTTTCAATGTTCTTGACAATCTATCTTTGTTCTTGATTCTGAAGCGCATCCCTGTTTTTCTGTTTTCCAGTTCCGTGCATCCAATCTTCGTTTCCATAGATCTAAGTTTGGGATTTGCTTGTAGAACCCTTGATTATTAGGAAAAACTGAAACTACTTCCACAAATTCTTACCCAACACATAATTTTGGTTTTTGCCGAGGTCCCAATAACCCTTTTAAAACACCTTTTTGAAATCCAACCCCTTCAGTTAAGCTGATATCATGGGTATGTGGAAGCATAAGGTAGACACCGCGAAAAAATTAGACTACTTTAGGCGAGAGTTTTCCATCCCTGTCGACGTCCATCTGAGATTGGCTGGAGATGACGACTCCATCATGCCCACCACTGATTCTATGCCCTTCCCTGTAGTGGCCTTTATCAAGTGCGGACTTCGATTCCCACTAAACATCCTTTTTCGTGAAATACTTCATTACTATAAGCTGAACCCTATGCAACTTGCCATTAATTCCTATCGAGTTGTCAACGGAATAATTGCCTTAGCTAAACAAGAAAATGCTAGGATTACCCTAGCCAACATCCAATGTTGCTACACCATGTGTGGCCTCAAAAAAGATACGGGCTATATTTACTACCTTAAGCTGAGATCCACAGAATACAAAATCGTAGCCGACCTCCCAGACTCCAACAAGGGAGCTAGAGACAATTACTTCATTACCTCGAGGAATTGGGAATTCGCTCCAAACAAGGACCTCCATCTCTACCCTCTTCCTCAATCAGTTTTTGTAGAGGGCAATGTAAGAGCCCTGTGTCCATATTTACTTGTTTGTTTCAAAGTCTTCGATACTCTTATTTGTTTCTAATGTCTATTTTTTCTTGCAGCTCTTCCTCAGCCTCCAAAGGGTTTTCGTCAGTCTTTCTTTCCCAGCAAAGACTTGAGAAAACTACTAAATTTTCCAGTTCACAAGCAGAAGGCCCCTCTGCTTCTTAATTTCATTCCGACGTATAAGTCGGCTCTTCCCGACATCCCAAAAAAGAAGAAGAAAAGCCTTTCTCCACCTTCTGCCACAACTCCACAAGTCGCGTCCACATCTCGGACAGACTAAGGATCAACCTCTGATCCAGCCGAGCAGCCCTCATCCTCGGCTCCTTATCTGATCCCAATATCTCAGCGTCAACGTCGGCGACGAACTGTTTTGCTGCTGAAATGGGCCGCCAGAAAACTGTTGCCAAAGATCTCCTGGCCAGTATCCCATCA